AGTTTGGGTGAGATCGGCTTGTAGTGAAGAAAATCTGGCAGTCTGCCTGAAGTAGGGCAGAGAAAAGGAAAATGTTTTGAAGAACTTGCAGTCATGGCACAGAGTCCTCTGGGCACATGCATAATGACAACAGAACAGTTCATTCTGTGTGGTTCTGGGAGAGCATCTTGAGTTTCTCTCTGGCTTTGCTCTCACACTGTAGCATCTGCATCTTCATTTAGCAGTGTTTTCCATTATTATAATGTAGCAACAGTTATTTCTGATTTCTGTCGCCTCCTGGCTAGACTACAATCCCCGGGCAGAAAGCCTGCAGAGCTTTGGACACTCAAGCTTGCACGGAATGCTCCAGCAGGTTTCTTTGGCAACACAGGCTGCTATGAGTGCAGGTCACAAAGCCTGTTTTCTGCTTTCTAGCACGTGTTCCTTTAGACTTTGTTTTGAAGATATTTTGGTTGTCTGTCACAATGAAGTCCTACAGGCAGAAAAGGGATGGGACTTTGTTGGGTCAGTGATTGTGAATTTCTCTGGGTTCTAATGACCACTGCAAAGGTAGCACTTTCATCACAAGCACAAGATCCATTTTCTTACTCATCATTTTGTCCAAAAAATATGGAAGTTATATCTTTGGACAAGCTAAAAAAACTTTCCCAAGCTTAAAACTCAGTAATTCACTGGAATTCACTTCTCTAAGTGTACTTCCACTCCTGACAAGAGCCTAAGAAGGCAGTTGTAGCAAGTGTTAGCCATGAGTACGAGAAGTCAACGTGTTGATAAAATAGTGATGAGCAGTGCATAACAGGGTGTGTAAGCCAAGGTTAAGCAGGAGAATTAAACCCTTCAGTTGGGGTCCACACAAAGGAACACAGCACCAAGAAAGACAGAATAGCTCTGGATCCCTGGACTATGGCTGCTTTTGTCTGGGAGAAACTCACTGTGGTGCCACTTCAAGTAGCTCTGCAATGAAATGAAACGCTCCTTTCTCTAGGCAGAAGAGGCTGCCCCACTTAGCAGTGTACTACTCAGTAACAGCATCCTGCTGGGGATGCTGCTTGGGGACATAGACATTTAATATACCGAGTCTGAATTCAGGAAAACAATTAAAAAATAAGTGCTATTGTTAGAGAAATCTATGTAGTCATTTCAGGTTTGAAAGGAGTTTAATCTTTAGGTCTATTTCTCTGAGTACTGACCTTATGTATTAAAAAAATCCCACTGTTTATAATTATAAAGGAGGTGATAAGCATCAAATGAATTGTTACAGAAGCCTTTTGTTGACTTTTTTCCATGATAAGGAGCAGTTGCTGTGTGACCTTGAATATGGTCAAATAACTCATGCTAAACGCATTGCTGCAAAGATGGCATTTTGGCAGGGCTTTGATGTAGGTCATTTTATTACCAGGCTGAATCAAACTACAAACTGATCTTAAACTCATGCCAAGAATGCTAATAATAAATTGATCAATGAGGTGCTGGATTGTTCAAGAGAATTGGTCAAGGGAAAATGCAGACATAAAAAGTCTGGAGTTCCAAAAGATGAGCTGCTTAGGCTTTCACACCAGGAGGAATTTTATTCCTTGCATTAGTGTAAGTTTTCTTTACTCCAGGACCTTTTAGCTGTATGTTGAGCAGGGCAGTACCAAAAAGTATATATACTTATCTTTATTTTTCTTGACCTTTATGTGCAAGTAATTTTTATAGTTCCATTAACTAGTAAGATCATTTGCAAACCACTGTACAAAGTATATTATGAAGAATGCCTTGGGGACCATCGTATCCTATTATGCTGAATGTTAATAGAATGAAAAATTAATTTAAACTCTAAAGATTAGAGCAAGACAAGACTTCCTTTTTATAAGGGAAATTTCAAATTTTATTTGCCATGGTAAAATATAGAGTGATACCCAAATGTGACCTTTATGTGGACCTTTATAGGCCTGATTTGAGGCAGGCTATGCATGAGTCTGATTATTTGTCTCCTCACATAAACTGACATATAAAAGCTTCACTTTTTTAAAAAAGGGGGATTTCTGTGACCCCATTTATAGGATCAGTCCTGCGTAATTTCACAGCTTTAAATGAATGTATTCTAATAAGTTCATGGTTGCTTGCTTAGCAAGTTACAAAGCGGAGATTAGATCAGTTCCAAGGATTGTCTTAACCTTTCTTAACTCTCTAATTGCTCTTTAAACATTGTCATCTTCAAGTACAATGGACTTCAAATGCCTAGAAAACAAAGATGCAAAAATTGTGTATTTCACATGGACTGCTTTAGAAGAGGAGCAGCATCTTGATCCTGCTTACAAGTCTCACATAGCACACTTCCCAAGAGACTGAAGCGTTATTAAAGAAGTCAACACTTCTGCCTATAGACAAGTAATTAAGTGAGGTTTATTATCTCAATTAGCTATTATTATTTCATATTTATTTTAACAAGTTAAGGTGTAATATGTCCGTGTGGCTAAATCAACTAAGCTTATACCAGTAATTAGCAGGTGTTTTGTCATTTGGAAAAGTAATAGTCCACCATCACTTTTCATGCTCTTGAGAGCTGACCTCTTGCACAATTTACATGGAAGAATGATTTATTAATGTAAATGCCTATAAAAGGAACAGAAAAAATCTCAGTTTTGATTTCCTTAACTCTAGTAAAACTTATGTGTTAAGAGTTACATCAGTGCAAAATGTATTCTTAGGTGAAGCTACATGGAGCACAGTTTTCTAAGTAGCCATATCCCAGCATATGGTGTACCTTTCTGCACAATGTGCTTTTAATAGCAATATATACATTTGTGGCTGTCATTTATGTGAACTGCTCCTTGTCATAGGTAACCAGTCACTTTTCAGTGACTGCATGAAGGCATGTATTTCTTTATGGAAAAATGCTGCTTTTCTAATATGGTGTCTTGAATTTCATCTTACATCTGTAGACTAGGATGCCTCACTGTCTTCAGAAACTCTAACTCAAGTGAAATAAATGCACAAAAGATTAGGACAATTAGTGGCTAGAGAATTAGCTATCAATATTTCATGCTCTCTGCAATACTGTCTAAACACAAGATATGAAATAAGAATAAATTTCAGTTCTGACATGTAGTGAACCTAAAAAAAAATGACTAAGCTCCTGCAGTTGTAACAAGGCAGTATCTTAATCACTGGTCACATGTGATTTGATGGATAAAGAGCAAGAAGATCTGTCCAGCGGGATTATTGAAAGATCACACATCATTTAAAGTTGGACTTAAATATATTGTGAATATGTTATTGGGTTTGGTCTCCAAGGACCCAAACATAGAATAGGCAGCAAAATGTTTCTGTTGGCTTTGATGCCAGGCTGAGCGCTCCAGGATGTGCTCCAATCTGATAGTCCAAATAGGATGTCAAGCACAGCAGAAACTGCTTAAATTTTCAAGACAATGGTGGAAAATGTGTTTTCAGTGGGGTACCTGGCAAATAAAAAGTTTTTTCTGATGTGAATGTGGAACTTTATGAAGGTTCACTGACTGATTTAAAATAAACCAGGTAATTCAGCCTGGTTTTCATTATAGCAACAAAAGAAGAAACCTCCCAGATCAGCTTAATTGGCCTTGTTTTAGACAGAAATAAATTAATATTTGTCTTGGAATAAGCCTTCTGTAGTCTAGCTGCAGCCAGTTCTTGGTTAAGTAAGTACAATACCCACATTTCCCATGTGACATAAAAACACGGGATGTGCAAACAATAGAGCTCTTTCAATATAGTGATCTAATTGCTGCTACATCATGTTCATTAAGAGCTTATACATGTTAGTTTAGATGAAAATTATGTTTCAAATTAACCATCAGGTTAGAATCACTTTCACACAAAGCTTTTGGCAATGTCCTGAGTGGTGAAATGGAAATAGGGTACTAAGTAAGGATCTGCTTCTAAAGTAGGTATTCAGTGTTGTCCAAGTTTGTTTGTTTGTGACAGGCATACACTGGAAAGTAAATTATACACCCCAGCAGCACAGGAGAAAAAATGTGTAACAACCATGAACTACAAGGGAAGAAGAAAAAGAAATTCTCCTTGTATGTCCCTAGGTTAACTGACAAATGAGACACCAGCCAGGTTTTCATAGTTTGAGGATCTTGATCTTTCAGTAACCCAAAAGTGGACAAATATCACAGAATAACAGAATCACAGAATGGCCAGGGTTGGAAGGGACCTCAAGGATCATGAATCTCCAACCCCCCCTGCCATATGCAGGGCCACCAACCTCCCCATTTAATGCTAGACCAGGCTGCCCAGGGCCCCATCCAACCTGGCCTTGAACACCTCCAGGGACGGGGCATCCACAGCCTCTCTGGGCAGCTGTTCCATTCACCACTCTCTCTGTAAAGAATTTCCCCCTGACATCCAACCTAAATCTCCCCTCCCTCAACTTAAAACCATTTCTCCTCATCATGCAGTTATCAACCCTTTCAAAGAGTTGATTCTCCTCCCCTCTGTAGGCTGGCTCCCTTTAGGTACTGAAATATGGTAGAGAATACTTCAGTTATGGAAAACTTGATGACCTCGAGAAGACAAGCCTGCACTTACGTACTTTGTGTAGTAAAATTATTTCTTTTCCTCAAGCTATTTTGTACAAATCTGTTTTTGGGGTCTTCGGAGTTCCATTTTCTTTCATGAACTGGAACAACTTGAACGCAATAAAAGAAGCTAGTATTCTGTAATTATAATAATCCTAAGTGTCAGTTTGTTAAAAATTTTATTATGAAGCAAAACTGCTAACCAAAGTAATTTCTGGTGTTAGAGTTTTTCATTACAAAGAGCTGAACTGACAAATGAGTTTATTGCTGTCTAGAGAACTATATTTTATTTTGGTCACTTAGTATTAATTAAATCTTACAAGTAATTATTTTTTGTTTGTTTTCTTTGTTTAATATTTTTAAACAAAATATTGCTCTCTAAGGCATAGTTTAGTGGATGTTTACCAACAGCTTAATATATTTACAAAACTGTGTATTTTTTCTTCTTAACAGCACTCTGCACAGAGGAGTGTGTGCATGGAAGATGTGTTTCTCCTGACACTTGTCATTGTGAACCAGGATGGGGAGGTACTGATTGCTCTAGTGGTGAGTAAAGATTGCAAAAATGTAATAAAGATATATACTGCTATTAAAAATTGTAGGAAACAAAGCAGTGGCCTTAGAAATTGGGTGCTTTAAATGGAAATTGAAGCTTGTCAGTTGGTTATTTTGCAGTGATTAATGTGTGATATTACTCTTTCCTACAGTAGTGACTTTCGATTTTTCGCTTGTTCTTATAAAGAAATGTTAAATGCAGTGAAGGATGCTCTTAATGCTTTCTATCCTGTTATTGGAATACCAATGTAGATATTATACCTCTATTATCATTTTTTTTTCTTCAATCTTTGCTACTTCAAATTCTTCATTAAGAATTTTGTTTAGTAGTTGGGGTATTTTCTAGACAGAATACTTGTCCAATTGAAACCAGTGGGAGTTTTACCATAGACTCTTCATGCAGCTCAGATTCTTCCTTCTGACTCGAAATCCACACCCTGAATTATCCGTACTGCGCAAGGTGGGAAAATGGTTGAGGTGGGAGTTCTGTGCTGTTTACTAGAAAATCAATTCACACTTTAGGCTTTCAGTTCTTTCAGCTGGAGAAGATTTTCATGTCAAAGTTTCTTAATTGATAAAGGTAAGTTTAAGTCTACGTGACTAGTTCATGCTAGAGTGAGATAGCAAGCGTTCTTTCTGGTATAAACATCAGAGATGGGTGTAAAATTGGTCCAATCAATTACTGACATAACAGAAATAAGCTTGTTAATTGAACTCCGTGTATTAGGCAAGCAAGTAAAGCTGCATATACAAAGATCTCTATAGTCACTTGCTGAACAAACAGTTTATTTTGCTGTTAGTCCCTCCCTTCCTTGCACATTGATTGTGATCTTAAGAAAGAGACATCGTTACCAGGCAAAAAGATAACAGGTAAAGGTTGGCATCAGAAGAGAACAAGAGTTCAGTTTGACTGGGAGAACACCTACAGAGGCTAAAGTCAATGGGACAGACTGTTCTCTGGTTACCTGTTTTCTGTTTGCAGCTTTGCTTCTATCTCCCCACTTACAGCAGCAAAGGCAACTATGAGAGGAAGGGGAGCAGAAAGAAAAGCCATGTAACCTTTTCGGATGACCTGACATATAGACAAGGGAAAAACTTGGAAGGCATAACTTACTAAAAATCTATCTAGAACAATACTGCTATCTTGAGAAAAATAGTTCTTTTAATTGTAAAATAATTTAGTGTCTCAGATAATTGTTTTATCCTTTGGTTATTTTTGGCAGTAGATAACGATCAACCTAGCAGGCAGTGGGTTTTTATACACTGCATATGTACTTAGAGAATTTCAAAAATGAGAAAATAATAAAAACCTTGTGATAACATGGGCATACATCACATGTTCATTTACACACACGTGCATACACACTAAGAGTAACAAGCATTCCAAAGCACAAATGGGCCTTGTGAACTAAAACTAGCCAGTGACTCATATTAAATTACACTAATCTTGCAAGTGAAGATAAAAAGAAAAAGAAGGTTTTCCTATATTGAATATTTAGCTTTTCAAAGTAATTAGGAATATTAAAGTACTGACAAAGATTGAGATAGAAACATTATTCATAACTTTTATTTCCGCACTGGGCAGCAATCCAGTATATTTCATTTATGAGATTTCAGCAGTGGAAAGAGAAGCAGTAGCCAATTCCTAAATTAAATATGCCCTGTTAACTTTTATAAATGATAGCCCAGGATTAGCTTCAAAATTTAAGCTTACATTTTATTAATATAATTAGTGTGTTCACTGGACTATTGTGCCCATTGTCTTTCATTCCACTTGTTATATGCTGGGCAACATGCATTCTTGTCCTAAGGTCTGATCTGACAAGCACCACTGTCAAGTGTAATGCATATAAGTGTGAATGGCCTCATTGAAGTTAGCTTTTACTGCAGCCATGAGAGTTACTCACTTTTATGCCTGATACTAAAAGTTTGGATGACTGGCCTCCTTACTGTTCAGAAACTTTGTTTGAATTAAAAGGTATAGAACAGTTATCAGCTGAATACTTTACAATCATTGTTCTGAGTATTTCCACGAGAGAAGCTGGGAGCCTTTTCCTGGCTGATGCTGATACAATTCAGATACAATGGTGATTCACACATTGGGACTTAACTTTATCCATCAATAATTTGGAAAACTATATTCACTTTTACTGGACTAATCTATTACCTGTGTCTACTTTCTTCTTATTTCTTCATTAATATTGAATAGCTGTATGAAGGATACATGTCTGCAGTGACAAATAAATGTGATTTGTTAGGTGTTTCGGAATGGCTGGTAAAGCTGTGCTCCAGATAAACTGAAGCTGTTGGTTATATCCCAGCCACCCGTTCTGTGTGTGGCCCTTGAGCTTTGCTATGTGAACCTCAGTATGAGTGATTTCATAAAGTCATAGGCATATCGCTTTTACTGTTGGCAATTTGAAACTATTTTACTGGGAAAGCAATTGCTTGGCAAAACACTCTCTTTAGATTTAAAAAATCACACAGGAGAAGCAATTGTTTCCTGAAAGTAACATTAAGAAATGGAGCCTGATTGAACTGGGTGTCATTGTTGTGTACCTGGGAAAGGTCTAGGGATGCTCACACAGCTTGAGGTATCTCAACACTGCAAGCCAGACTGGTGTAGCTTTCTAAAATTTATGTATATCCTCATTTGATTTGGTGAGTCAAATTCAAACAAACCAGAGCTCCAGCACAAGGTCACTTCAAAACCAAAAGTCAGGTCCAAATGTTTGGGTATTTTTCTTCTTTTGGTGTGCTGCAAAGAGTGCCTGTGCTAGGAAAGCTTATGGATTCTGACACTGAGCATAGATTTCCTACAGAGAGACATACTTTTGATGTTAAATCTTAGTGTTATTGTTCTCCCTTGACTGGAATATATACAGTTAAATGGTTTGAATAGTTACAGCGACAGCCTGTAGTCATCCAAACAATTTAAAATCCTTTTCAGACTTCATTTCATGCTTTCATAAAACTCAGCCTGTAAGACAGCAGTCAGAAATCTCACCGTTTTGTGCAGCTTCCATTGACTGACCATGGTACGTGTTAGAGTTCATCTGTTGTCAAGGTTAAAATAAGTTCAGATGAATTGCTAAACAATTATAAAAAAAAAAAAAAAAAAAGTGCCATATTCAGCTCTGCATGCCTCTATACCTGTGTTTTACTGCATGCTGTTGTACATCTGTTGATGCCCGCAGGCCTAGCCTTGATTTCCTGCTATAAAGCTGCAATATATTAAGGCTTGATTACCATAACAATAAAAAGAGAAGTAATGAGGTATTAACTAAAGAAGCTCTCGAATAAGAAGTTTTTCAAGGTTTTAATGATGTTAAAAATTAAAAGTCTTTAAAAAGCACATACCCTTTCCCTTCTCTTTTAACTTGGTTTTGATTTGTTTAAAATCATGCCCATTATGTCCATGCAATCTGCAGTGTTTTGTTGTTTTTTTTAATACAAAGGAAAATGGCAAATGCTCTGTGTGAACTTACCTGCTCACCTGTCCAATTATTTCAAAGCAATTAACTTCAAACAGTATGATATACTGGCGTGAAGTTCTGGTAGGAATATAATTGACTGTTGGTGGTTACCTGGCCTTTTCTGGGTCTTGATAATAACCATCTGTATTTGTAAGTATTTAGGCCGCCATCCAGGAAAGCACTTAAGCATGTCCTTAAGTTGACACATGAGCAGAACTTTTCATCTACTTTAAATTAAGCAGGTGTTTGAGGATGTTGCTGAGTCAATTTTGAAGAAACAACTAAAAATATCTTAGTGAAATCTAAGACCCTCATTGAATTCATCAGACCTACAGAGAAGAAAGTTGTCTCTCTTCCAGAATGCCAAAGCTCATCTGGCTGCATTACTGAAGACTTATTTTTACTCTAACAAGTACTTTTCATTGTGAGGAAGATCTCCAATATCTTCCTGTAAGAAGGGAATTCACCAAACAGCGGACAACAGGTAGAAAAAGGAAAGTTCAGCGCAAGCACCCTGAATTATAAGCAAGAACCTTCCAAAACTGTGTGTGCCAGTTTCAGAAATTTCAAAGTAAAGAAACAAAGAAGTTGTAATGACAAACTAAAGTGGTTTTCAACATGTTTGCTTTGCTAGTAGTTTCAGCAGAAAATATAGTAGTTGTCCAGACTGTAATTAAATGGATGTTGGCATAATAATGCAAAACCATCCTTTGTGCTTCATCACCTGAGGAGAGGGGCTATGCTATTACTGTCTGGCATGGGCAGCTCAGTACTGTACACGTATGTATAACATAGATTTCTTTGGAAAGGATGTTCCATAGAAATGATCATCAAGAGAAACTATTTCATCTTTATCTTTTTGTCAAAAATAGCCAAGGTCATAACAACAGGCAAGTATAACCTAACAGCAAGATCACATTTAAGGGTATAGCCCTAGAGCAGCTGGATTGCTTCAGTTCTGAAACTTGTGATGAATGAGAACTGCGGACGCTGTGCTAAATCTGAATGGGGGTGTTGCTTGACAAGTTATGAAAGAAATAGTAGAAATCTCAGGGGAAAAACTGAGTATTTTAAATGGGTCCATAGTGTTCTGCAGGTTTGCTTTTGACTTCCATATTCTCAGAATGCTTTGAACTATTTCTGAAGAAGGCATAACATTCAAAGGAATCCTGTGACATGTCTGACTTGTGTACAAAGCATTAAATGAAATTCAGCTTAAGATCAGGGATGTATCTGATGGAATCATTAGCCAAATGTTTGTCCTTGGCTTCTGAAGACAGGAAGGCTGACTGGGAAGGCACCCTGGGAAGAGGTGTAGAAGTGTGGGTCCTCAGCAGTTCCAGTCCTTGAGTGGAGTGCTGCTTTGGTTCAGGGCCTGTCCTTGAAAGACAACTGTCCATGTTTCCTGTGTAGGAGTTTGTGCAACAAGTTTGTATCACAAGGACTGCTTCATCAATGTGACAGAATTGGAGAGATGTTTCTATCTCCAGTGAACCCTTGTATTTCATATGCCAGTGAAAAATCTAAGTTTAGGTAAAATTTCTAAAGATCTGTTTAAAAGCAGACTGTGGTCTTTAAACTTTTAATACACATTTCATTTAAGCCAAGCTCAAACTTCAGCTTAATGCTGATGTGATCTGCAGATTCAGTGACAGCTGCATCAT